TTTATAAAAATAGCATCGTATCAGGAAACGACTTTATCTAAAGTCGTAAAACGGCTAAATCGCAAAACGGCCCAGGCAGACCTAAAACGCGATAGAAGTCCACTCACGACTTTAGACAAGGTTCAGCCGAAAGATATGATGTCGGCTTACCCATTATTCGCAGAAGTGGGAAAATGTCAAGTTTGAAGATAAAATAGACGTTTTCCGAAGAAAAATGGAAAGATCGAGGAAAAATGGAAGATTTTCAATAAGCGCAAATCAAAGCGGAAAAGGAAAGACCAACCGCCTAGAGAAGGAGTATATAAGAAGAAGGTCGAGGACAAGAGCAGAGGACAATTTTTGGAGCTCTCATCACACATAAAAACTTAGCATCTAGTCAACTTTCCATTTTTGTTATCGAGCTGCGTCTCAACTAAGGTTTTAGTCTTAGGTTGGTAGAACTAGGAAACTCGCCGGCAGCTCTTGTAGCCAAGGCTTACCTCGTTGTACCGTTCTTACGCAAAATCGGTATAAGAAACCTCTTTTCTCTTTATCTTGATTTTCATACTATTTATACCTTTGTTTGTATTCTGATTGCTTGCGTGTGGTTAAGCAGATAGCCGAGACCTCTTGGAAATTAGGGTTTTCCTCTAAGTTCCTTCATTCACGGAAATCGACTGTGTGACTTCCAGTTCCCACATAGGCCCAAAAAATTCTTTTTAGACCAAATTACTTTTGTTTTTTGGCCCATTGTAAGAAACCGCATTGTATAGTTCTTTTTAAAACAACACACATTTCATATGTCCAAGATATTTATTTAAACGAGAATGTTGATCTTGGGAAGGAAGTTTCATAACTCACTTTCCCCGATATTTTCACCCACATTGAGCAGTTGTTGGGGGAAGTGGCTTTCTTCCTTCTCTTTAAACAAACCTGACTTTTCTTTTTCATTCTTAAATTGTTCACATCAAGAGAAAACCGACAAAAATCTCCATGTGTAAATTTTTGTAGAGAGTTCATATATCATTAATCGCATGAGCCATTGCACTTGGGAAAGAGATTTATGTCGATTCCACCATCTTTTTCTAAATAAAAGAAATTGTATCGAGTTTTGCTTCGTTTTCATTCGTCTATTTTCTCTAACTATGACTTTTATCAAGTCGTTTATATCGATTTGGTTTTCTGGTTTCTACACTCGTATCTCTTCTTTTGGAGAAGAGAAACTCGCCGCTTTACATATGTCCAGTCCTATATTCGGGACTGGAATTTGGATTACAACTAAGATTAGACCTAGCTAGGAGAAGAGGTGTTGTGGAACAATTTCTTTTTTAAAAAAATGATTTTGAAGCTGACTAGGTTACAGCTTACAGTTTTTTTTGATTGATGAAGAGAAGAAACGAGCTGTGCTTTTCAGTTCAGGCTATTATGACATCATTGGAGATAATGAACTCTTGACATGAGTGCATTTTGTAGAAACTGATCATTCACTGGATCGGTGCTCCAACTCTTATGTTCCAAGTTTAGTGCAAATCAAACATAATTTCACGTGTCAAAAGGAAAGAGAAGACCAAGAAGCTCTAATCCTACCTGTGCAAAAGGAAGAGAAGAGAAAGCAAAGCAACAAGCTCTAGTCCTGCCTCTGCAAAATAAAAACAAGAAATGGAATTTACACGTTTGACCAAAAAAAAAAAAATGGAATTTACACGATAATTTGATTTGTCCCTTTTACAATAATATGTTATTTGTTTCTTTCATCTCTTTTTGGTTTAATTTGTTGCATAACCAAATTCCCAATAGAAATTAAGAATATAGAAATGATTTTGACATAAATGATTTTTTAGCATTTAACCATCATTTTAGTTGGTTATGTTCTTTTTTTGTAAGTAGCCGGTGAAAGAAAAAAAGTAGAGATGACATTTTTTATTGTAAATATGGATAAGAATGAAAGACATGCATGATAATGCTTCCACGTGACGGCATACATATGTATTGTATCAGTAAAATGGATGGTTTAAAATGGATTACGTCATCTTAGATGATAAATAGTATGAAATCACCCTATCTGAAACCAAACAAACCGTGCACCAAACTACTTGAAATTCAGAAACGTATGATTTATAAATTTCCGGTTAGCTATTCCATATTTCTGAAACAATATAGAACTCTAACCAGTGGCGGAGCCAGCCCCATAGTTTAAGGGGGTCAATATAAATAAGTAATGCGTTTTATGTTATTTTTGAGCAAATGTTATGGGGTCGATGTATTGTTTTACAACATTTCAGTAGTTTTCTCATCAGAAATATAAGTAAATTTTTTTGTGGCAAAAATTCATATGGGTCAAATGACCCCCCCCCCCCTCCTGACTCTAACTTCCGTCACTGACTCGAACTTCAACCCAGTCCGTAAATACTAAACCCTACCATATTAATACTATACAGTATTAATTGGATGAAATTTGTTTCATATCACGAGTAATCACACAAAATAACAGAGAAAATAAGTATCCAATTTGAAACCACAAGAAACTGATATATTTCAAGAAAATAGCATAGAAATACAATTGTATAATAACTTTACATCAGTACCTACACTAAATAACATATAATATGCTATATATTTATTTCACTGCATATAGTATAGTCGCAAGTTCATCTTCTTCATATCATACTTTTTCCAGATATGGCGACACTCATTTCGCGATCCACCGTCTTTATTACATATCACCTGATATTGTCATAAGCCAGTTTGGTGATCCACCATCTTTATTCCATATCACCCGATATTGTCGTAAGACAATTTCTTCATCCCCTCATCTTTTGACACCATGGCATGTATACACCGATCCAGTGTAGTTATTCTTCCCCATGAGATCTAACAAGCGACGGAGTTAGTGTTGATGCAATGATCCAGTATCCTTTGATTGATTTTCAGAAGTTAAAATGGAGGATGATAAGAGAGACACAATTGCAAGAATCAAGGATTTGAGAGGAAGAGAAAAAAAAATGGAAGATATGAGAGAAAATATAAACGGTTGTATCAGTGATTATAGACGGTATTTTAGCAAATAATATATAAAATATGTTGAATATGATACTTAACTTATTTTTTGGTTAAATGATGAATTCTCAACCTTTCTTGTAGTTTTAGTTGCTGGAATGTACTGTTAACATAAATTTTCATTATGGTCTATTTATTCAGCTAATAACATACACCAATTTATCTACCGGCTATAAAAATGTACTAGATTTTTGACATGGGCTTAAAAAGCGCGGGTACCATTTTCATTGTTTTATCTACAGATAGATCGATAAGTCTTTTGCTTTGATGATATAAAATGTCGCTATCTAATATAATTTTTTTTAAATTAATGCAGATTTTAATTTATTGTTATCATCAATATTTAAGTAAATGTATTGTATGTATTTGTGTAGTTTTATTTTCAGAAAATAATATAAACTATTTACGCCCAGTGCTGAGAAACGGGTCAAACTCGGCCCGCCCAACCCGCAAAGAAAATATATTTTATCCGCATCCGTTCCACTTAATTTTGTGGGTAATCCACGGGATCCGCAGATAACTATTAAATAATAAAAATAATTATTTTTTTTCTAAAAGATAATATTAAATAGTATACTTTTAATTAAATTTTTAATACTTTTTTTAAAAAAATATATTTTTTGTAAGGAAATTTTGTATATTTTGTATTTTTACGGATTACCGGGCACCCGCAATTGAAATTAGAACAATCCACACCCGTCTTGCATAAAATACACTTGACCCGCACCTGTACCCGCAACTAATTTTTATAAATCGATCGATCCGTTCCGTGGTGGGTCAAACAGGGTGGGACTCGCGGCTAATATCAAAATTCCGAGTTCTACCTACACCAATTAAAGCTGATGAGTTTATTTTTGCAAGAAACTTCAGAAATAATTAGAAGGTGAATTTGACTCATAAACGAAACCCATTAATATATAGTTTTTAGGCCCAGAAACAAAAGATCAAATTGCCATTAATGAAAAATTAATTTTGTTCATAAAAATAAGCGTATAATTGGAAAACATAAAAAATTCATTAGACAGAATGTTTCTGTTTTAGTGGTATCTATATTATTAAAGTTAAAGTACACAATGAAGTTGTTTGGAAACAAGAATAGTAGATTAAAATAAAATGTGTTTGGAAACAAGGTTAATTAGTGTCCTTTTAACCATACTTGAACCCGTTTATGGCTAACCAGTTATTTTAATTAAAAAAATTTAAAGGAACATAATATTAATTTATAACGCAAAATCTTTGCAATTTTTGTATACGATTTTTCTTAGATTCTCGGTTAAAATATTTTAGATTCCCATACCGGTTGCAATCTTTGCAATAAATTGTTACCTTTTATTTCTCCAACCTATATATCTCGAGACTTCCTTCCCACGCCTTTTACCTAAATCAGCGTAAAAAAATATAACAAAAAAGATATGGGAATCCAAAATATTTGATAAAGCTCTGATATACCAGAAAAAAATTTACTGCGAGAATGTCCTCACAATATATTTTCACTCAATATCTCCTTAAAACCTAGGTTTTTGACCTCTTTATAAATACAAAGGATTAGTACATACATAACATCCATTTACAACTCACCAAAAAATAGGTTTAAAAGAAAAATGGCAAGAAATATTGTTTTTATCGACGATCTCAAACCTTTTAAAGACGAATGACGAGTTCGTGTCAAACTTCTTCATTCATGGAAACCATCGGAAACCAATTTCGGAGGAGAGACTCTTGAGTGCATCCTTGCAGATGAGAAATGAAAGCTTACGTTTTTCTAATTTATTATATGTCTGATGTCAACTATATTGAATCTAATACTACCTTTTTACAGGGTCACAAGTTCATGCATCTTGCAAAAAAAACGCTGATGTATTTTGTTCAACGAGATCTACCTATAGGAGAATGGAGAGTGTTCGAAAATTTTAGGATAAGCGTTGCTGGAGGTCAATAAAGACCAAAAAAAACTTCAATACAAAATGACCATCATTGGAGACACAACCATAACCCATACTGATTATCGTAATGATAATCACTTTCTCTCGCTAGCGAGCTACAAGGAAATCGGTACTGAAAAGCTGAAAACGTATTTTCTAATTGGTATGTACACAAAACAATCCTTACTTTTCTGTCTATTTATTTGCTTTGTGTTTAAGCTTCAAATGAATTTGTTATGTTATTGAAACAGATATTCTTGGACAAGTGGTTGATCTTGGAAACATCATATCGGTTCAAGTTAAGGGCGAAGAAAGGAAGAGAGTTCAATTCCGTTTGCGTGATACAAGGTATGTTTCTTTTCAAAACCGTATTAATTATCGCTATAACTTTGTACTGGATTTTGATGTCGCCTAAACTTATTTCTGTCTGTTTTAATTATTTTAAAACAGTGGTAATATAGTAGCATATAAGACTACTTGGAAAAGAGACTACTATGGCTAGGGTTACAAACAGTGAAATCATTATGTTGAACAATCTCAAACCATATAAGACTACTTGGAAGGTTGAAGTGAAAGTTCTTCATTCGTGGACACAACACTCAAACTATTTTAGAGAAGACACTTTCGAGTTAATACTCGAAGCTAAGATGGTATGTTTTAAAAAAAAATATATTTTTTTTTCTAGAACTTTTTGTTGCCAACGACTAAACCAATGTATGACTATATGTTATTGTATGGATCAGAGATACATTGTACCTGTAAGAAGGTCTTCCTTGCTCGTGTTAAGAAATTTCAAACGAAGAGTAGTTAAGTGGGGGTTACCCTATATATGCTAAGTTTGTTGTTCTGGTTTTGTTTCATGTTGGTTCTGGAATTTCCCGTTTGTTTATGAATTTGCTTTGTTTTTCTGAACTTTTCCTTTAAATCCTATTTTAATCAATAAAGTTGTCTTTTGCGAATAATCATGTCAAAAAGTTAACCTACAACTTTTGTGATGTATAAACAGTCGACAGAAAATTACCTAACCAATTAACCACTCTCACTAGGATAGTTAAGTTTGATAACTCCTAAACCTTCAGCTCTATCCTTCTTACCCATTCTGATGCTCATCTAAAAATACTCTCACTAGGATAGTTAAGTTTAATAACTTATTAACCTTCAGCTCTATCCTTCCTACCCACCTTCCAATTCTGATGCTCATCTAAAAATATTCTGCATGCAGATTGTTTAATTCATAGTATACCGAATCTCAACAAAAAAACAACAAGGAAATTCCTTTCATCTGAGTTAAGATCATAGTTACTTGTTGTTGGCATGCGCTTGCTTGCTCAACCTGGGAGTAAACTTCTTTCTTCACAGCTTGTGGTCGTTCCTTCACCAACATGTTTTCATTATAAAAAAAACAACAACGAAATTAAACATAGATTCATCACCACAATATTGATCTATCTGAAGTTAAGATATATGTAGCTCGACTCCGAATGTCTCTTTTCTTCTTGGATGTCCTATGTTCATCTTCTCCTCTGAAGCAGGTTTGAAGCAGGTTTGTCAGGGGGTGAGTTTGACCAAAACAGATCTTTAACACAAACTTTCAGAGCTTGATCGGAGCTCCCACTGATTCGTTCTACATGACTTATATCCATAACTTTCAATATAGAAGAATTAAAACAAAACCTAAATATCATCGCTAACAGAAATTGTAAATATAAATAAAGCAAGGTTCAAACTTTTATATAATATCGTTAATCACTAACGATCTGCTATTATAGATGACCGATCAATGAAAAACTGAAACAATTTTATCTCTAGGATTAAAAAAAAAACTTAACATTTACCATGAAATTTGAACAATAAAAATATACAAAATCTAACCTCTGTTGCAATACATTGATGGACTTATAAATAGATTGAGTGGTTTTGATGAACATTAAATTGAAGAAGTTCAGATTATGTATTTGATTTAGCTTTTTGGAGTAATTACGCCTACAAGAAGAAGATGAGCCAAGGGAGAGAGCAAAAATTTCCCAAAGTAATTAGTCGGTCTAATAAACATTGAGGACAATATTAATATGGGCCAGATTTTATGTAAATCTTGGTTTTTTTATTTAGGAGTTATATTGTATAGCCCAATTTTGAAGATAATATACATTTAAACTTTCTTATATAAAATGAAAAAAACAATACTATATTTTGTCACCATTTTATTGTTGTTGTTCTTTGAGGTAAAAATAAAATCCAAACAGAAATATATAATATATTAAATAAATCAATATTTACAAAACATAGTATTATATTATTTATTTTAGTCACATATAAATATTTTTAGGCTAAAATATTAAAAATAATATAATTCATAATAATTCATATAAAACTGATTTTTCTAAATTAAAATTTTCAATATTTTGTTACGATTTGAAATAAAAAAATAAAGTGTAACATATATGATTAGTACAATTTATAAGAAAAACAAACTCCATAAGTTATACATGTTAAGAAACAAACTACACAGGTTATAAAATTTTAGAAATAATATTATGTACAAATAAAAATAAATAATCTAATAATATTTTTCCAACTGTAGAAAAAAAATAAAAATTTATTATTTAAAACTTGTTTATATAATCAGTGAGACATAGATATACAACTATCCTTTCAAGTACGAATCGTTTATTGGATATCATGTTTTTAGAGTTTTATAAATAGATAAATACAATTTAAGTATTATAATTGGATTATTCTCGGTTCGTGTTGCTTTGTAAGAACCTAAACATTATAAATAAACTATATGTTTAAAAATGTTATTAAATAATTTATAAATAATAAAAAATTTAAACCCGCGCTAGTTGATTTTTAAGCTTGTCGACTCTTTCACGAAGAAGTGTTCTTCTCATTCTCTCTAGGCGCATGTTAGTTGGCTCTCTCTTTTGGGCTCTTATCTCCAACTTCTAAAATATCTTCTTAGATTTGTGGGGCCTTTTTTCTAAAAACACGTTTTCCTTAAAGAAAGTTAACCAATTTTATGGTTCTATTCCCAGATTTCTTCAGCTTAATTCTAGATCCTTGGTTGCTATCTTCATGATTCAAGCAGTGGTCAGGGTTTGGTGAAGGTTATAGACGAAGTGGTCTTAAAGGTGCAGGGAAGAGCTGTTATAATTTTTTTTTGCCGAGGGGCTGTGAAGGTTTTGCTGCTCGTTTGGTAAAGATGGCTTCTCAACTTGATAAGGCGATGAAACATATGTCGATTGAAGAGGATGATGAACCGTTTGTGCTACCGGATAGACCGGAGTTCTATGCTATGGAGAGAAATTCTCTGAGTCTTATAGGGCGTCTTTTAAACCCACCGTGCCAAAAGATAGGGGATCTTATACTCGATATTCCTAGGAAATGGAAATTGTACAACAGATTTAGGGGTGTGGCTCTATCTATAGAGAGGTTTCAATTTATCTCTAAGCATGAGCATGACTTAAACGATATCTTGAACAGAGGTGTCCATAACTTTAACAACTGGTCGATTGTGGTGGATAGGTAGATGGAGAAACCACTGGAGGATTATCTTAAGCATTTCTTTGTGTGGGTTCAGATGAGGAACATTCCGGTGAACCACTACAAGCCGGGAATTATATCGCCGATGGAAGAGTTCGCTGGTCAGGTGGTTGAAGTCCCCTTTGACCTGGAAAAGGCGCAGGTAAAAGACTATGAGGGTGTTGGTAAAGTTTGATGTCTCGAAACCGCTAAGAAGATCCAAAAAATGTACACTCCCAGCAGGGGAGGTTGTCAACATTCTGTATGATTACTAGCGAATATAAAAGAGGTGCTACATGTGCCAAAGGTTAACTCATGAGCAATCTGTGTGTCCTTGGCGTAACGTGGAGAAGGATGCAGTTTCTAGAGGTTCCTGTTTTTCTGCTGAGAGCAAGAGCACAGAGGTTTTCAATTTTCTGGAAGAAACAGATCCTCTGTTTGGTGTCATTCCAAGCAAACAATTAGGTTTGGACCCGTTTCCAGGCAAACCTAAGATTGCTAAGGAGGTTATGGATGGAATGAGGCAATATTTGATATCTGCTGAGGGACAGGAAAAGGTGGCTCGAGTGGAGAGAATTAGAAGTCTTTAGATGACCTGCAGAATGAGCCCTTGGGTCAGAAAGTTTTTCTCAGGTTAGAACCGTCTCCGATTGTCTCAGCCAGTCTTGATAAAGGAAAAGGTGCAGTGTATGATTTCAGTGCTCAGTCTGAATCTAGACCAAGCCAAGACAAGCTCATGGCTAGTGTGATATCGGCGGGATCCAAGATACTTCAGTCTGGAAAGGTGGTCTCTCTTCCTTCTCTCTCTAAAGAGTATGATGGTGCTATTCAACCTACGTTTCTTATGGAGGGTTCAACGGGTTACACTGCTGGTATCTGCGAAACTGCGCTTCCAGGACTCTTCTAAAGAAACAGTCTAAGAGGAAAAGACCTGGAACCTTTACAAGAAAAGCAACGGGTAAGAAAGTGATAAAACCAGTTGCTGAGGTTGCTAAAGGTGTTGGAAAAGGGATCGTTTCTGAGAGTAAGAGGAAAGCACAAGACGATGTCGAGCCACCATAAATCTCTGCAAGGTTTAAGAAACCATTGGTTGTCCCAAGTGAGAGACCGTCTAGTATTTAAACTACTACTAGATTTTGACATGTGCATCCGCACGAGCCATCTTTTAATAACAGACAATTATAACAGATTATGTATTTTAATTATTTGTACATTGTGTTTGTAATTTATATTGGTTTTAAAATAATTAAAATGATATATTACATCAATTATTTTTCATATGAATAGTTTTACAAAGTATACAATTTTGGAGATATATTTTTTCTAGGCTAACCATTTAATACATGTGTGTATATTAATACATCTAGTTTTAAAAAAAAACACAAGCACCATTCCAAATCCCTTATATATTAATCCTGAAGCATTCATAAATGCATAATCTTGGAGACATGCTTACGTGTCAAGCTCACAGAGCTTCTCAGCCTTAATTTTTTAATGGACCAACTTTGCTAGGAATGAAATAATGTAACATTTTATTTCTTGCATGTAGGACTATAATATATATATATGTTTTGAGGGACCAATTCTGCTAGATATGAAACAATATTTTTTATTTCCTTAAATAAAAGCTACGGAATTACCTAATATGATTAACATATATATGTAATTAATGATTATGAATAATACATATTTTTGTGTCCTCTCTTTTTTTTGTTTAATTTTAAAATATTAAAATAAATTAAAAAATCACACTAAATATATAATAAAAATTAAATTTTTTCTTAGTAGTTATATTTTTAATTTTTTAAAATTACAATAAATAACTAAAAATATTCAAATTCCACATTAAAAATTTTATGATCAATGTTTAACTTTGTTTTTTTCCAAACAAGATACAATTATCGTAAATCGTACGAATATGAAGTATCATTAGTAGATATTCATATTATAAATATGTTAATTTAAAAATTTCAGTGAAAAGGTTTGAGGTTAGTAGATACAAATTATAGTATTCGAAAGATTTTTGTATTTTGTTTTATTTACTTTTTAAAATATATTTAGTTTTTTTAGATAATTTAACTAATTTTAAATTAGATTTATTAATAGTTTAAATATTTTGAATTTTTTG